TTGTATTTGACCATGAGACCATGTCCCTTTTCTCTTCTGATGAATGCCGGAAAAATAACATCTCAATTATCGGTCGTGCGGCACAGGTGTAAAGTGTCTTGCCGTTCCCGTCTGCATGTCAGGACCCCTTTTTGTCTACGCTGTCCTCGGTGTTCAAGCTGTATACGGATAAGCCGGAAGGAACACAAAGCTAGATGCCTACCAAGCTTAAAGTGAACTTGTCATCACCTTTATACACTGCCTGGCCAATTAAAAAGTCACCAGCTGGGTTTACCTAAGCATTTAGGTAAGAGCTTTTCATTGGATGGATGAGGAAGCAGTTTTATGATCTGGGGTTGCTGCAGTTGGTCAGGTCTAGGTTCGGCAATGTTATGTCCCCCATAAAATGAGGTCAGCTGCCTAACTGAATATCCTGAATTACCAGGTTTTTCCATCAATGGATTTTTTTTCCCCTGATGGCACATTGGGCATATTACATGATGACAATTCCAGGATTCATCGGGCTCAGATTGTGAAGGAGTGGTATAGGGAGCATGAGACATCATTTTCACACATGGGTTGGCCACCACAGAGTCCAATGCAAGGGAATTTGAGCTCTGCAGGGGAAGTTTCTCTTTATTATAGAAAATAAGGTGAAGCTCTGTCGACTCCATCATCCAATCATGTGCAAACAAAACACTAACAGGTCTATTCACAAAAGGGTGAAGAGTTTGGAGAAGGCAGGAGAAGTGAACAGTCCAGGTCAAAATAGCTGATTTGGATGAATTCTCCGATTCAGCTTATTTTCCAGTTCAGCTATGTTGTCCTAGATGTTTCACTTCTTCTTCCTTCTCCAAACTCTTCACCCTTTCGTGAGTAGACCTGCAATTCTTTTATTTTCTTTGCACGCGATTGGGTGTTCTTTGCAAAGTGAAATTTCGCCAAGCTAAGGGGAAACTTCCCTAAGCTTCCCTTGAAAAGTGAACAGACTATTTGCCTACAGTAAATCTAACCTTGTGAATGGATAGGCGGCAATAGGCTCAGTTCACAAAGCTAACACACCAGAAAAGGATTTTAATGTATTTATTTTTTGACATTATTATAATAATAATTAAAATTATTTATACTTCAGTCCAATGAGATTTGCAATTAAAGTCACATGACTGAAAATAAAGATCCTTATGCATGTGTTAAACTTTGTGAATTGAACCTAATGTCAACTAGATTGCAGTTATCAGTGGCAAGCCCAGGGTTGCTGTTCGGACTTTTTTTCAACAAAAACAGCGGTGCGCTTTAAGACTGAAGTGCTGCTGCCAGAAGAAGATGTTGCATTTCTTGCAAAGTCTTCACTTAAATCTGACTTTCTCATTATGCCTGTTGCTGCTCCATATTTTTTCAAAATGTTATAATTTATTCCTATTAGGGATGCACCGATACCAAGTACAGTACTCGGTACAAGTGATACTCGGTACAGATACTTTTCAAGCTCCAAGACAAGACTAGAGAAAAATTCAAAAATTAGTAGGGATGCACCGATACCATTTTTCCAAGTACAAGTACTGATACTCACCCAAGTACTCACAGATACAAGTACTGATACATTTTTGTTTAGTGCCATGTGACAGTTTTTCTAAAACAATAGACTAATGATTTCAGGACAGTGGTGGAACGCCAGAGCCAGGTCCCAGCTGCAACCGCTGCAACCCTGGTAGTTCTCGGGAAAATGCCAAGTATCGGCACTGGTATCTGAACTGGTATCGGTGCATCCCTAATTCCTATAGCGCTGCTATATTATGAAGTACCGCGCTGGGTGTGCAGAACCATTCACACTGGTCCTGTTCCTTAAAGGAGCTTACAATCTAATGTCCCCGCCACACTGACACACAGTACAGTCAGTCTAGTCAGCCATCAAATAACCTGCTGACCTGTTTTTTTTTTTTTTTTTTAGTGAGAAAGGAAACACCACAGAAATGCAGAGAAAATAAAGAAATGCATGCAGTGGGAATTAATTCCTCTGAGTCCAGTGCTTTAAGGCGAAACCACTAAGCCATTATGCTGTCATTTTGTTTCCTACCCCAGGTAATGAAAACACCAGAAGCACATTTTAGTGCGTTAAACCTGCAGAGAGTATTCTGCACAATGCATTGGCTGCACTATTCAGCAGGAAGCACAGTCTGCATTTCAGAGGGTTATGCGTTGCTTTTGTCTGGATTCACATTGACTTGCATAGGGCAAGTTCCGGCACAACACTATACAACATGCTGAGTTAACACTGCTTTGCAAGATGCATTCTAAAACTCAAATACCGTCTTCCAAGTCCTTCACAAATTCAGATTAGCCCTTAAAGTGAACCTGTTCCTAGACTACTGACATTAAAGTATTTAGATGTTCTAAACAAGCAGTAAAAAAGCTTTAAAGCTGAATTTTAATCTGCTTATTTTTTGCTTTCCCAGTGCCCCCCCCCCTACCTGTTCCTAGACTACTGACATTAAAGTATTTAGATGTTCTAAACAAGCAGTAAAAAAGCTTTAAAGCTGAATTTTAATCTGCTTATTTTTTCCTTTCCCAGTGCCCCCCCCCCCCCTCATTAACATGACATTTGTAAATAAAACGGTTCCATATCTTATTTAAGCAAAGCAGTGCTTCTCTATGCAATGCAGGTAGATCACCTCCTAAGAAGGGCCGGCAGGGTGCTGTACATAGCTTCCTGAAAGCATCACAGCACCCTGCCTCAGTAGTCCTCTGAAGAGCCCTTAGATATAATGCAAGCAGAGGGCTGGATCTTGGGAAGAGTTAGCCAAATATCAAATTGGTGGGTGGATGTTAGTCTGGAGGAGTGGGAGTTCCTAGGCAGGATTTAAACCCACAACCCCGACATAGCATGGTATTGTGCTGCCTACTGTGTGCTATCCCCCAAAAATTTAAGATTTTTGATTTGCATTACAGTAAGTGCCTATAGCACCAACATATTCCAGGATAGGGAGAACACTTAACCACTGATGCCAGTTTTGGCCCAGTGGAGATGACAACCTTTTGGCTAACAAAAGACTATTGACTAACTTAAAAGCTGGGTTCACACCTGCTCGTTAGTAATATGTGCGTTTGATGCGCGTTTCGGGCCGCACATTTTTAGCACGATTTGCAGTCCATGAAACGCAAAAAAATTGACAAAAATCTATAGACTGGGTCCTAATGGTTACGCGCTGAAGTCCGCCCCAAAGAAGCTCCTGTACTATTTCGGGCGTAGGGCATTTTTCAGCGCGTCAAAACGATCTGAAATACGCCCAGGTGGGAACCATGCCCATAGGAATTAGTAGGATTTCAGTGCTTGAGCGTTTTTCAGCGCTTCGATCAGCGCTGAAAAACTCCCAGGTGTGAACCCAGCCTAAGACTGGTCAACAGTCTGCTGAATTGCTTATAAAAATCTAAAGTGGGGAGTTTTTGGCCCAGTGGAGATGACAACCTTTTGGCTGACCAAAAACGATTGACTAACCTAAAGACTAGTCAACGTTCTGCTGACTTGCTCATAAAAATCTAGACTAGGGAGTTTTTTTGGCCCAGTGGAGATGAAAGCCTTTTGGCTAACTAAAGACTTTTAACCAACCTAAAGAATGGTCAACAGTCTGCTGACTTGCTCAAAAAATTCTAGACTAGGGAGGAGACCTAAACCAGATTTATAAAGAAATCACCCTTGTTGGTCATCTTCAAACTCAATGCAGATGGTGCCCTTGACCGCCAGCAAACCCAGGTTCCTGTAAAGTAACAACACCATCCCCTTAGAAGATGTAAGGCCCACAATCTTGATCTAGTAAAGTTTGAGCTTGGCAACCATGTTGCTTGAAGGTAACTGCAAGCAACTGGAAGATCATCCCCAGTGATTTACTGAGAGGAAACAAATTGCAGGAAGCCTTGAGTTTGTTTTTCACGTACCTTTTAATCAGATGTGCCCGGCTGTTCACATAGTTTGTATCGAATGTGTAATTCTCTGTCTGAAAGAGAAAAGGAGAAGATTAGATGACGTTGCAAAAGTGATAGCGATACCAAAAAAATAGAATTCACTATCTAACCCCCCCCCACTTCTCCCACCCCCCTTTTCCCCCTGCCTCGAGCGGTGAAACATCAAGGGACACCCATGCCGGAGATCAGTGCTTTATGTTCCAATGTGTATGTGAGCATGTGTCCCAATGCAACAAACACACTTTGATATTGTTTGATTATTTAAGTGGCTGTCTTTTTGTTTTTTGCACACATGTCTGCAAGCAGCCCAACCAATACAGTCTGACATAGCTGGAACTTATTTTAGCAAAATTATTTTAAAGTATATCTATGGTCATAATTAAAAAAACAAAAAATATGATGACGTCTGTCACTAGCTGTGCAGCTTGACCCGTTTTAGGAAGTGGAAAAACAGCAGATCGATTGGCGGGATCAACAGGTAATAAAACTATGTTACGGGGGAACTCAGAAAAACAAAAACTGTTACATTAATGCTATTGACAGACTGCATTATATTTATTTTTTTAATCTTGCACATAGTTACACTTTAATACATGAATTAAAACAGTTAAACAGTCAACTTAAACAACAGACAATGAGAGAAAACATTTATGTAAACCCCTCCCCCCCAAAAAAAACAAATGTAAGCTTTGCTACAGAATTGATATTTTTATTGTATGCTTTTTTTTTTTTTGTATAGTTAAAAAAAAACCCTTCTAGGGTTTCAGCCTTTATGATGTTCTGACAGACTTTAGCGATGTTGAAATTGTTGAAATTGTGCTCGTACACCTGTTGTGTTGGGGCCGTCTCTCACCCCCGACACCCGCGGCTTGCAGGTAGCCTGCAGAAAATGAAGCATAACAGCCGCGAACTACATTAACCTTGCCAGCGGCCCGCACAGACGCTAAAAATGTCATTTTTAGCTGCAGATCTCAAACAGCCAGCGTGAGGTCCGCCCCGCGTTCGCTTCGCAGGACTTACCGGCGAGCTGCGCCCCGCCAGGTTGCCAATCATCTCTACTGACAAGACATATGGGACCCACTGATACAAAGGCAAGCAGAGCCTACAAAATGTCACTCCGACCGTCTCCTGCATGATGTTATCAGTTGTAGCTGCAGCCGGGTTAGGTCAGCTACAAAAAGAAAAAGTTGGGGGATCTAATGTTGAATAATAGGGATGAGGTTCGAGTTCCCGGGATTGAGAAAGTTCCAGAAACGAGAAAAACAAAGAACAATCTATAATGCGGTCATAGCCTTTGGCCCCGGCTCAGCTGAGTCACAAGAGTCAATAATTTGTATGTAGGTAAGTTGGGGCATGGCAAAAAAAAAAAAAATTGGCAGAAAGTCTGACCCAGTCCTTCTCAACCAGGGTGCCATGGCACACTGGGGTGCCTCCTGGCTTAATTAATATGAATACATTTTTTATACATTTTAATAACTATAATAATGAATCTCACAACCATTACAGGGCTGTGGTGAAGCACAGACCTCAGAGACAATAATGATTGAACTCAATGGACTTTATGTATCTTTATGTACATATGTGATATCTTATGTATCTGTAGGTATCTTTTTCAGCCTGACTATGTAACTATGTAACAATACAGTGGATAACAGACACACTGGGATCGATGGGCAGCACAGTGGCGTAGTGGTTAGCACTTCTGCCTTGCAGCAGTGGGGGTCCTAGGTTCGAATTCCAGCCACTATCTGCAAGGAGTTTCCATGCTCTCCCTGTGCTTGCGTGGGTTTCCTCCGGGTACTCTGGTTTCCTCCCACACTCCAAAGACATGCTGGAAGGTAAATTGGCCATGCATGTGATATAGGGACCTTAGATTGTAAGCTCCTTGAGGGCAGGGACTGATGTGAATGTACACTATGTAAAAGCGCTGCGTAAATTGTTGGCGCTTTATAAATACCTGTAATAAATACATTTACTAAAGGCAAATAGGCTGCTCACTTTGCAAGGGAATTTTCCCTTAGCTTAGTGAATAAGGTTAAGCTCTGCCGATCTCCATCATCCAACCATGTGCAAGAAACAATGTTTTGTTGTTTTGTTTCCTTGCTTGTGATTGGGTATTCTCTGCAAAGTGCAAATCCCATTGCAAAGTGAACAGCCTTTAGTAAAACAACCCCACTGCCGCAAGACCATTGCGTCCCCGGGAATCATTTTAACAGCCCGTGTTGAAAACAGAACAAAAAGAAAAGGAAAAGAAAAAAGGCCAAACAAGCAAATCATATGCAATCATACAACTCATACTTTACTCAGCCGATGTTGCAGGAGCTGGACGCTGTCCAACAATGGTGAACAAATGAAGCACACGGGTTCAGTATGAGACCAATGATGGCATCATTCTCTGAGGTTTAATAGCTGTATTTTTTATGGATAAACTCCCTCTGGAGAGGACGCATTGAATACACAAACTGGAGCTGATCTATTATTTATTATTCAACAAAACAGTCTTATTGGACTTTTCACTGTTTTTTTTGAGTAGCTGTGTTGCTTTGCTTCTCATTGCCAGAGACGGAGGAGAGGAGAGACAGGGAAATCAAATCAGAATGATACGGACAGTCCTACAATCCCAAGGCTTGTACCAGCAGTATGAGCAGGGGGCCCTGGAGGACTGAGCCCATCTATTAGGGAGCCCCAAGTACTCAGCAATGAGAGGAACTCATTTCCAGAGACTCTCTGCTCTCATCCCAGACTTCACTTCCATAGCAGAAAGGAGGAAACCCCATTTTACTGGGAGAAATGGAGCTAATGGTGAAAATAACTAACAATATTTTACAGCATGTCACAGATTGAGAGGGACACGAGAAATCCTGGATTTATAAATCCCATACCTGGACTCACCCCCCTTCTCCTCCTTTATATTATCCCCTACCCCTGATAATGTCCCTGGATCCACCTCCTATCCCCTTTATGTTATCCCCTAGCCCTGATAATATCCCTGGACTCACTTCCTATCACCTTTATATTATCCCTTAGCAAGATAATATCACTGAACTCCTCTCCTTTCCCCTTTAAATTATTGTCTGACCTGATAACTTATCTGAACTCACCTTATATCACCTTTATTTTATCCCTTAGCCCTAATAATGTGATAGGACCTATTCCTTCCAGCCCACCCTCCATTCCAAAGCATAATAACCTCGTAATTCCTTTGGCAATGCTAAAATGAATTTGGTTCCACCAAAAGAGCTTCCATACTATCCCTTTTAAATTATTGCCTAACCTTATAACATACCTGGACTCACCTTCTATCAGAAAAGAGAAAAAAAAGAAGATGGCAAGGAAGGAGAGGTACAGAAAGACAGAGAGGAAGGGAACTGATACATAAGTAGGCTGGATAAGATTGAGTATTGAAAGTTCCCATCTAGTAATCCATTGTTGCATATATTGCATTAGCACAGGGCATGTGCACCAATCTTCTCAGTGCCAACTATTAGCCACGCCCAATGTTCACCCCATTGTCTTTCTACACCTCTGGGAAAGTCCAGTATACAAATCTCAGCTCCACTTACTTGCCACAACCACCAAAAATAGGCCCTGCAGTTGAATCATTTCTGAATGTTACATGACTGATAATTCACCAGGAGGGAGAGATGTGAATGGAGGAGTTGGGGACTCTACTGAGCTTATCCTGGTCCTCCAGCCTTTGAGAGGTATAGGTAGCCACAAAAGGGGCCTTAGCCAAACCAAATCCCTTTTTTTTAACCAACATACGGTCTGAAGTTTTCTCTATAAACATCGATAGAAACCATGTAGCTCTGCGGACTGCCTACGTTGGAATGCAGGGCACCACTCCGCATTAGGATTTCAAACACACTTTGTTCAGACAACAACTGCAACTACGAGAAATTGATGGCCAATAGATCAGCAGGCAGAGGACAGTCCATATGACCACAATCTGTTTCCAAACTAATTGCTTCCAACTCCCCCGATGAAGCTAATTCTGCACGTGTCAATGTAAGTACAAGTTCAAAGGTATATTGTCATTAGCATATCATTACCATTTTAAGATGAGACACGTTCTTTCACAAATATTGAACGGTTAGCAAATTTTTTTTTCCAGGATTCCATTTAAATTGCAAAATCCCGAAAATATTACATTATGGATATACAGAAATTGGATTGTAATAATATATTCAGATTAAAAAATGAGTATGATTGATGAGGCATAAAGCCTGCCAAAAACACACTTGCGTTCGTTATGCACTTGGGTGAAAAATTATATATTTTACCTCTCGGTATTACTCGTATACCTCTGTGCTGCTTCGCATTAATCTTCATTGGGTTTCAATCTACTGATTTAACTAAAAATAGTTTTATTCTGTAGAACTGTATACTCAGCTAATGAGAAAAATCTGACGTTTTGTCATTGCAGAAATGAATAATGACTTGTCATTCCTTGGTTCCATATATGATAAATGCATTGATTGCGTCCAATAAAGGTATTAAAATATATCAGCTTGCTACGTTTGCAATATCATCGACCGAGTTAGAGCAAAACGCAATTTAGCGCTAGAGGTATTATTCCCTATATAAAAGGGTCGTTAAGGAGAAGGAAAGTTCAGTGAAAATTTAGGTGAAACAAACTTTTAACAAACTAGTTAGAAATAAAAAAATGGTATTGCGGAAAAAGAATGTTTTACTTCTCTTTTTACCGAGACCTTTATACTTCTTTTATATATTTAATACTGGCTTCTAGCTAATAACAGACATTGACTTCATCAGAGTAAATTGAAAACAATTTAACGGAATATCTTTTTACTTTTTAAATGGACTCCAGACTTATTGAAGGTCAAAACTAACTCTCAGTATATAGAAGGATGAGTGTTCAATCTTGCTTACATCACCATGGCTAACTTTTTTCAACTCCAATCTTCTATTACCACCAAACATTTACTTTTAATGAACTCCCTTTAGTTTTGAGGATACTTTGAAGGTACTTGGAGAAAAGATAACAGAAGCTGTATATGCAGAAAAAGGC